GCCAATAGGGCCAATGGTATCCTGGGTTGCATAAGGAAGAGTGTGGCCAGTAGGTCAAGAGAGGTCAGTCTCCTCCTCTACTCTGCCCTGGTGAGGCCATCTCTGAAATACTGCATCCAGTTCTGGGCTCCCCAGTTCAAGAGAGACGGGGAGCTACTAGAGAGAGTCCAGCGGAGGACAACAAAGTTGACTGGGGGATTGGAGCACCTCCCTTATGAGGAAAAGCTGAGGGAGCTGGGACTCTTTAGCTTGGAGAAGAGAAGGCTGAGGGGAGACCTTAGTAATGTCTCTAAGTATCTACAGGGTGGGTGCAAGGAGGATGGAGCCAGACTTGTTTCAGTAGTTCCCAATGACAGGATAAGAGGCAATGGGCACAAATTGGAACATAGGAAGTTCCATTTAAATATGAGGAAAAACTTCTTTATGGTGAGGGTCACAGAGCACTGGAACAGGCTGCCCAGGGAGATTGTAGAGTCTTCTTCTCTGGAGATACTCAAGACCTGCCTGGATGCAGCCCTGAGTAGTGTACTCTAGGGGATCCTGCTTTAGCAGGTGAGTTGGACTAGGTGATCTCTAGAGGTCCCTTCAAATTCTGACAATTCTGTGATTCCGCGACCATTTCACCACAGCTCACTACGTCTTGTGTGCTGCATGCAGTTCTAGTTTCACATCTCAGGAAAGGCCACTGGGATATTTTGTGGGGGAAATAGAGGAGGAGTTTCAGAATGTGGTTAGTACAGATGTGATACTTGCAGAACCATGAATGTAGTGTGATGGACAACCAGGGTGAGAAGCTGTTACTCATGAGATGTTGCAGTACTCGAATTAGAGGGCATGCATGGAGATAGTAGATTAGTCTGAACAATTCAGGGGAACGGATATACTTCCCTATTTTATGTTTTGGTGTGGGGTTGTTTTTTTTTTGTTTGTTTGTTTTTTAATAGAGTGGGCAGTACCTTTTGGAACTTGTTTCGACAGGAGGTTTTAGAGGAAAATAGTAGCAGCAGGTATGGAAGGATTTTGAAGAAAGTGCTAAAAAAGAAGTCGTAAATGGTTGTGAAGGGTTGGACTATCTTAACATTTGTTAATCCATGACAGTGGATACTGCTGGGGAAGGAGAAAATACACTATAGATGATGGCCAGATATATGTGCTTCCCCAGAGAGTATGCCCTATTGCTGCTGTCACACAAAATACTAAAGGGACTGTGACTTTGATCCAGGATGACATTTCTTAGGTTCTTGTATTACTTAGGTAACAATTACAGCTAGAAGTGACCAAAGTAAAAAGCTTTGTATGTTTGTGTGAGTACACAGAGGTGATGGAAGGAGCTCCCAAGGCTAAAAGCTATGTTCCAAGGCCAAAATCTGTAAAACATGAGGTAAACTTTTGTAGAACATAAGATATTTTGCATCCTCTTCTTTTTAGAGGGGAGGGATGAGGTGAGTTGCACACAACCATTGAAGGCTGCTACACTACTGTATTTCTGGAGCTTCTAGAGAAGAAAAGTGAGAGCTTTCAAAGTCTTGTGTATTTCCATTTCAACTATTCTTCCTGACTTTGGAGGACACCATTCTATTCATTCCTGATTTTCATCATCTTAAATTATATTTCAAATTAGGTATGAAAATAATCTGCTACTGATGACATGATCTGTCCTGTCCCTCTTCAGAACTCTAACCTCACCTACCCCTTCAAGTTCTTTAAAACCCCATGCAGGGTAATGGCTTGTGCATTTTATGTCAGGTCTCCTCTTTCATAGCCTCTGTGTTTTTTTGTGGGGTTTTTTTTGTGTTGTGGTGGGTTTTTTTATTATTATTATTATTTTGTTGTTGTGGTGGGTTTTTTTCTTCCTTTTTCAATTAAACTAAAATATTTATATTTCAATATTCATAATTCTTCTTGCCTGGAACTTCTCTCTTAAATTGCTGTTAGCCTTTATATTAAGCCCTTAATGAGTGATGGAACATCCTTTTCCTGATTTATAATGGGAAAGAAAATGTGAAGGTCTAACATTTATTTTTATTATTATTATTATTTAACCTTTATTCTCTACAAGCTCAGTTATCCTTCTTGTTTAATCTACTTTTGCTTGCATCTGATGCCCTCCTCTTCTTAATGTAGACCAAAGAGCTCTCTTACCTCTGTACAGCATTGTGAGATAATGGTGTAAACAATTCTGGAGCAGTTTGACCTTTAAATACAACTGTGAAACTTCTGTGCTTAGCTGATTTACATTTAACCCTTTTTGATCTAAGCAACTACATAAATTTAATGTGTTGCTTCAGGAAAGAGGGAGGGAAAAACCAAATGTTTGTTACAATGAGTATATAAATGTAAGATGTAAGACTAACTTTAAGACTCTTTTACTGCCCATGAGGCTTTATCAGCCCCTTAAAATAAAATAAATACAAACCAAAGTTGTTAAAATATGACTGAAGACATATGATGCTTCATGTGCTCAGGCATTTTCCTTGTCCTATTCTGTATCCTTATTTTGCTCTCTTTTAGTCAAGATCCTTTTTTCACATCATTCAGACTCATGAGCAGCCTTGTATTTTCCTTTTTTTAACACTATTTAAAAAAAATTTTTTTTTAGAGACTATTTTCTCTCCTGTAAGGAAATGTAGTTACCTAGATTAGTCTGAAATAATCAGCATGCCCAGGAGTTGGATTTAAGTTTATTCAGCCTAATGTAGGATTATTTTTGTGCATTTGCTCTACGCTGTGAATATTTTTTAATGAAAAAAATTACAGGCAGTAGAATAAGTTTAAACACAGTTAATGTTATGTGCCTATATATTAAAAAACTGTTACTGGAAATGGCTACCCACAAGCTTTGGGGATTTACGGAGAAGATCATAGGGATATTTCTTCTTTTGGCTTTCATTTCTCTGCACTGTGTATGTGCTTCTCTTCACTTTCTCAGCTGGAAAAGGCTGATCCACTGCCATGTTTGTGCTAGCATGCCCTACTTCTGGTATCATCTGTTCAGCTGAACTAACAGCCAGTGCTGCCTTGAATGTTTTATGCTTCTGGAGGTTAACACAAAGCTGGAATTCTTCCTCTGTAGAAATGCATTTTTTGGTAATGTTTTGTAGTGTAAGTTGTAAGGCATGTTGAAGGGGGAGGAAGCCGAGCATAGCAGTCAGCTGGTGCGTGAAGAATGTCTGTGTACGTCAGACTTCCTAGTGATCACTTTATAGTGATTTTCTAGGGTGAGTTATGCAACATCCATAATCTTTACCCTCAATGAAAAGGCTAAAAAAATAAGTGAATTCAGATAACTTTGTATCTGAATTTTTCCTTGCCCTCTGCTGCTTGCATATGTGAACATGAGATGTCCACAAACACATGTAGTCCTGAACTAATAGTGTAAGTCTCTGCTACAAAGCTTCCCTGCTTTATGTAGGGGTGTGTGGTCTTGGTCCATTGTTAGGTGGTGTGTTGTCTTCCTTCTAATTCCTTCTAGCAGATTATAAAGTATTTTAAAATTGGAAAAATACTCTTAAATATTATTTTTGTACATCTGTGGGTAGATCTTTAGGATGGAAATTACCAAAAGCTAAACAGCAAAATCCTTTTAGAGGCTGCATAGCGTGACAGCAGTGAGTGCCCTTAGCTCTAAACAGGGCTTCAGGATATGTAGTTTGAAATAAAATACAGAAAATCTTCAGAAAGTTTCTGATAAAGAATTTGCTTTGTGTTCTAAATATTCTTGGAAGTACTATTGTAGTTCTCAAAGCTTTACAGTGTTCTGTTCATAAAAGCTGCGTATATAAAGGGCGTGTAGCGAGAGCACTGGGGGTAATGGGTTAAAACTGGAAGAGGGGAGATTTAGACTAGAGATTAGGAGGAAATTCTTCACTATGAGGGTGGTGAGACACTGGAACAGGTTGCTCAGAGAAGTTGTGGATGCCCCCTCCCTGGAAATGTTCAAGGGCAAGTTGGATGGGGCTTTGGGCAACCTGATCTAATGGGAGGAGTCCCTGCCAATGTAGGGGGTTGGAACTAGGTGATCTTTAAGGTCCCTTTGAACCCTAGCCATTTAATTATTCTATCATAAATATGCAGTGATTTACAATTAAAATTGCATTTTTTTTAACCTGGACATAACTTGCTATTGTAGATATTCAGCTGCTTGTTGGCTAAGCGTAGCCTGACAACCAAGCTGCTTTTTTTTGGTGTGTGCTTGAGATTTCTGACAAACCTACTCTTGAACAATTGCTAAGGACAAGGAAAGTTGTGACAACACACATTAAAGCAGCCAGGGGTCAGAAGAATGTGGAACTTTTTTTAAAGCTATTTGGCAAGAATTCTTTATAGATCAGGGAGAAGATGCACGGTAATTTTCCATACAACTTTCTCGGTATGTAGTATTTTTTTGGGTTATGAAACTTTAAATATAAATGCTGCTGTTTATTTCCCTGTAGCGAGAGGTTTCATCTGCCATACTTTTTCAGTCTAAAATGTCAGCATTTTTAATGTGGCCTTCCTCCTCTCCTCATAAGAATACTTACTTGCTTTATGAACAGATGTACTTCCTCCTGTGCGAGAGGCTTTCAGCGAAATACACAGACAGCAGAATTTATATGCTGTGGCTGGAGATGGCTGGTCTAGTGTAAATCTGCAGCTGACAGCCTGCACTCTGCCCTGTCGCTGCTGCTCCGGGAGATCGATGATTTGTGCAGGGATAGTTCAGAGGGGAACTCTTATTGATTAAGAAGGAAAAGTCTTACTCCATTGTCCAGCACCGCGTCACTATTCTTATGATCTATAAAGGCGAGGGAAAACCTCTGTGGGCGGAAGGGCCCCAAATTGCGCCTTTTTCGGCTGCGTGTTCGGAGGCAAGAGGCGGGGGAGGTGTGCATTTCTCCCGTTCAGGCTGAGGACGCTTAGTTTTCCGGCCGCCCTCAGAGGCGGGACCCCGTGCGTGGGCGGCGGGGCAGCGCCCGTCGCTGCGCCCCGGGGGTCGCGCCCGCAGAGCCGCCCGGGCGCTGATGGGGAGGCGAGGCGGGGAGAGCACGGCGGGGCCTTCAGCTCCTCCTCGCCGCCCTGCAGCGCTGGGAGGCGGTGCGAGGGCCCGCCCGGGGGCCGCGAACCTCAGCCCTCGCCCCGCAGCGCCCCAGATGCGCGGGGCGCGGGGCGGCTGCAGCGGCCGGGGGCTCTGCGTGGTGGGGTGAGTGTGCGCGGCCGGGCCGGGTCTGGGCTGGCTGCGGGGACCGACAGCCCGCAGAGGTTGGTCGGGCTGGCCAGCCGAGCCTCCCGCGGCGGCTGGGGCACCGGCGGGTGTCGGCGGACAGGGTTACTGTTTTGTATCGGCAGCATTTAATGTCTGCGACGGCAGGGACTTGTGGTAGGGCTGGAGAGCAGCCGGGAGCTGATGCTGCAGGCGGTCCCTGCCGCTCCCCCGCCAGCGCAGTGCTATGGAGGTGCTGGGAGGGGCTCCGCCTGTCCTCTTATTTCACCGCAATTAAATGTCTTATCTTCTCATGGCATGTGGCCCAAGGAGTCAGGAGGAGTAGTCCCACAGCATACAGTGGCATGATGTGGGAAACATGTTGCTCCATTTCACGTCATATATTATGCCATTAAAGATAATGCATATGCTTTGTTGCATATAGAGTCTGTGCAATTTTATTGTTGTTTGTGTGTTTGGGTATTGGGGTTTTTTTTGTTGTTGTTTTGTTGTTTTATTTTTTTGGGGGGTGGGGTTTCATGTTTAGAGGTTCAGGTTTCCTTCAAAACCACAAAAAACCCTCACCCAAACAACAGCAAAAAAACCAACAACCAAACCCACCTGGGGTTCTTTGAGAAGTCAGGTGGCCTTTATAGGTATTGGGGATCGAATCAGTGTTGTTAGCTTAGGTTTCCAAAAGTCTGTCAAGTCATTGAGACAGATGGAATACAAGAGAAAAGAGTTCTTGCACGGGCAAATAACTACAGTGGGAAACAGTGCTTTCTTTCTCCAGTGGTGTTTCACAGGGATCTGTCTGGGGCAATTCAAGGTAGTTGACCAGGTCAAGGGGTGAGCAGTGAAGTGAGAAGGCAGTATTAGGTTGTGGAAAAATACTAAGGACAAGGGTCGGCTATGAAAAAATAAATGAGAAGGACCTTAAAAGGCTGCCTGGACAGTAACATGGCAAATGAAATGGCAGAGGGGTATGTACGTAACAAAAGGAACCAGCTTTCCATGTAGAAGATGGCCTGTGAGTTCACCATTATTGCCTGGGAGATAAATTCTGGTGTTATGACAAAGCGAGGTTTTCCTGGGACTAGTCTGTGCCACTTTCCATAGGGTCTCTCGGTTTTGATATTGGCAAAAAGCAGATAACCTAGGGGAGAGGGAGGAAATTTAAAGCAAACTCATAGAGATGCTTTCCACGGCTGTTGTATTAGCTTCCAAGAATTTGCAGTTCAGGGTTTTCCTTGATGAGAAGTTTAAACTTCTATTTTTTTTTGGTGGCTTATTAGCCGAGATGTAGGAGTAGGATGAGTGATATGGTCTGTTTGAGTGGGGAGTTAGATTTTGATGTACGCACCTTTGTATGAAGGCAAGGTAAATATCAGAAAGGATAGGAAGACATCAAGCAAACCTGCTGCAAGGCCAGTTTACAGTTCTTGGCTAAAGAAATCAATACAATTCTTGAACTGTGAGCTGTTGCTTTGCAGTTACTCATTCACAAGTGTACTTTGATACAATCATGCATCTCTTCGCAGTTAAGATCTGAAATGATATGGGATGAAAATAGGAACTTCCACATATTAAATAATCTGTTGTTGTAAAAGTGTTTCTGAGGAATGCTTTGACACATCTGTATATGTTCTTTAGAGGTGGGTTTAACATATTAATGACAGAACTTAGTGGGATTATGGAAATGTATGATTATGAACAGTTTTTGTTGTTTGTGTTGTTTTTTTTTAAAGTCCCATCTTCATTAAAATATACGATTTTAAGACTAGTAATAAAAGTGAAAGCATTCCTGTGCCTTACTGTTAATATTCATCTGTGTGTTTTGTAAGAGATGTTTTAAAATTTGTACATGATCAGGTATATGGGAAAACAGAAAAGTTCTAGCATATCTTACACTGAAATAGCATAATATTAGAAAGTTTGTGGCTTGGTTTTTAGGACAGTGTTAAGGAGTCTTTGGTACTGAATGAAGAGATGCTTTGTGACCTTTAACTGTATTGAGAGTATGTCCATGTTTCCAGATGTACTAATATCTCGGTTCATTCAAACCAGCCAAAATGAGAGTTTGTAGTTAAAGTAAAGATCACTCTTTGCTTGGCGCTGTATCTGAAGCTTATTTTTATGCAGAGAGCCATCAGAGAAAATGGACTCTATGTTAATGATTGAACACCAGTGGAGGTGTGAGTTAACCTTATTTCATATTATGGAATAATGTGTTTCTCTTTTTATAGGAAGGGACTGTTCAGAGGTTCCACAAATCGGTGCCCTTCTGGAAAAAGCAGAGAGTCTCTTCCAGCAGTTTTTGAGAAAAATGTGCAGGAAGCCATTGACAATTATACTTGGTATGTGGTCACTTCTGAAATACTGCTTCATTAACAGACTCTTGGCTTAAATAGATATTTCAAGATTAGTATTCATTTTCATTAGTCATGCTTCTAGTTATTCCCACGGATGACAACTAATGCAGGCTATAAATTGACCTAACCCATTGTTTACAGGGTTTGCACTTCACTCCTGGTTAGTGTTATGGATTTGCATATTTTTAGAGCATAGTGTGTCTGGAAGGGAAGTCTGACTTCATGGTTAAACACAAATTATGTTCACCAGCGTGACAGGTCAGGTAACTATAAAGAAGTTTCATTCCAGTTGGCACAGGATAGGATTTCCCTGGCCTGCCTTTGCCTTAGCTGCATTGTGTGTGTGTGGGAGCTGGCAGGAACCCACTACAGCTTTCTGAGAGATGGAATCCCAGAGCTCAGGGTTTAAGGTGCACCAGATGTAACAGCATAAAAGACACTGTGTACAGATAGGTAACTCAGTGCTGTTAGAAACATTTGTAGAGATGTTATGCTCGGTTTTGCACAATTTTCTTGTGATAGCTTCTAATAGGATTTAAGAAGGTTTATGTTATGTTTATTGGATGGTTTTGATGTGCTCGTTAGCTGAACTGGTGAAAATAAAATTATTGTTAGAGCTGGAAATACTTGGTATACATGTGTGGATACGTTCTAGATTTGCAATGATACACACACACACACATATATATATAAAAGCATAATGCTGTGTAAAGAATTGCCTTTAAGCTAGTAAGTGGTACAAAATGGAGTATGTACTCACTGCACTCTACTTAAAATATACATTTGGAACTCTTCACGTTGACTCTTAACAGCATGTCCTGAAAACACAATGCATATACAGATTAGTTGACCTGCTACAAAGTAGCTCTGTGGGAAAGGACCTTAGAGTGCTGGTGGACAACAGGTTACCCATGGAACAGCAACATGCCTCTGTGGCCAAGAAGGCCAATGGTATCTTGTGGTGCATTGAGAAGAGTGTGTCCAGCAGGCTGAGGGAGGTTCTTCTCCCCCTCTACTCTACCCTAGTGAGACCACATCTGGAGTATTGTGTTCAATTCTGGGCTCCTCAGTTCAAGAGGGACAGGGATTTACCTTGAGGGAGTCCAGTGGTGGGCTAGAAGGATGATTAAAGGACTGGAACATCTGTCTTATAAGGAAAGGCTAAGAGACCTGGGGCTGTTTAGTCTGGAGAGGTCACAGAGGGGATCTTATTAATGTTTACAAATACCTGAAGGGTGCGTGTCAAGGAGGAAGGGCCAATCTCTTTTCAGTCATGCCCTGTGATAGGACAAGGAACAATGGACACAAAATGGAACACAGGAAGTTCCACATCAACCTAAGGAAAAACTTCTTTACTGTAAGGGTTATGGAGCACTGGAACAGGCTGCTCAGAGAGATTGTGGAGGCTCCTTCCTTGGAGACTTCCAAGACCTGTCTGGATGCCTTTCTGGGTGATCTGCGCTAGGTGGTCATGCTCTGGTAGGGGGGTTGGACTCTATGATCTCCAGATGTTCCTTCTAATCCCTAATATTCTATGATGTTATGAAAACCTTGCATCCAACAGGACTATGTATCACTGTTGATTTATGTGGTCAGCTGTGTTATTTTTAAAATGTTTATACAAAAAAACCCCATTGTGTTCATTTTAATTTGTCTTCTTTTCACAGTGAAATGCTTTCATCACTTTCATCTAGTGGTCGTACAACACCCACAGAGTTGAATAGTTCTTGGTCTGGAATAAACAGCTATACTACTGGTTTGTCTACTGAAAGAAGTTCAGTTTATTCCTGGAGGGATGATGTATGTCACTGAAACTTTTGCAGTGCACTTTAGATAAATATTGTACAACAGATTAATTTTTTTCAGAAAATGGAAGTGCAGTACATGGCCTGAAGAAGTTAATTTTTTCATTTATTGTAGCCTAAATGAATATCTTAAAAATTAGTTCTGTTTGCAAGTTGATATCAGTGCAGCTGAGAAATTTAATAAAAATCTGAAATTATTAAATTTGGGAAGAACAAACCAGTTTTACCCAAGAAGGTAGGTTTAGTTTTCTGAGTCCAAAAGAGTGATGAAATAAGTGTTCAAATACTGCATAAGGCAGACAGTGCCTCAGTTGAACTATTCTCAGTGTTTTGAGTCATAAAGTACATTAATGAACATGCATGCAAATATCCCAGTCTGAGTAGATATTTAGCTCTTGCCTAGGCTCAGTTCTGTTTTGTAGATGATGCAGAAAGAGGTTAAGCCCATTATGGAGGCTGATCTTTCAAGCACACGTGGCACAGGCTGACGGTATTGAATAAATCTAAAAGCATTGTGGTCACTGTCACTTTGATTTTAAAAAGCCATCCATGGCTGCTAGTGGTAGTTCTGCCATACCTTTTGCACAATATCCTAATCTTTAGGGTACTGAGCCCTTTGGTCACTTCCATCCCTCCAGGAGAAAGCCTAACCCTGGATCATATGGTAACCTGTGTGAGAGTTATTTTCCTATTCCTTTTCAGTGTGATCCCTTCTGGGTGCTGAAGTGGTTGAGGCACTCATGAACAAATGAACAGATGTAATTGGGACCCTGAGTAGTATGACTTTTTCCTTTGTTTCCAAGTGTCTGATACAAGTGGCCTGATTTAATTATGAACAGTGTCTCAGTCGAGGAACCCTCAGCCGTGTGCTTGTTTCTGCATCACTGGATAAAGTCAGGCTCTTCCCTGCTGCCTTCATGTGCCTCTACACTCTGCTTGTACTAAGTTGTAGCTTCAGTGAGGAGGTGTGAAAGGCCTTTTCTCACACTGAGGGTTGTTTCCTAACCACCTCCATATCATGCAGAAGGAAGGTGCCCCCTCTTGACCCTCTTAGCTTGTTTTTACTTGGAAAGGAAAAGTACTGCTCAAAAGAGCAGAGTGCTTTGGTGATGTGGGTCGCAGAGATGTGATGCGCACGCTTCCATCTTTCTGGAGCAGGGAGGGAACCAGGAGTCCAGGCACCTTGTAACTGGTGTTTTCTGTTGTCTGATCCTAGACAGCTTACTCATTTTTGCTAAATCACCTTGCTCGGGTCAGTTACCTGTTTGTGTTTTTTCCCACTGCAGTGTATAAACTGTCTCCAGAGTAGGTAGTCTGAAGATCCATTCTGAGATGCTCAACCAAATTGGTTCAAGTTGTCCTGTTCTTTAAATGTTGTGGGTTTTTTTCAATAGAAATAGGTATGCTAACAGCTATTAATTTTATAATATGTAGGAATTTGATAAAGCCAACACACAGAGAGTGCATCAGTTATTTTGGGAGATTGATGAAATGCTGTTTGAAGGAAAAGTGACCTCCCAAACTCAGAGCCTGCAGGCAGAATGTGCAGACTGGGTTGAACAATTTCCTCATCTAAGGTAAGGACATTTCTTACTGGTACTAGTTTTAACCAGTTATCCCTCTAATTTAAATTTCTGGAGTATCCTCATGTGAATTGCTCTGGATGTATGGCATCAGGAACGCCTTTGCGTTGAAATCTGTATCTCTGGGACTGAGCTGTGCCATAGTGATGCAGTAAGTATGAGTGGTGGTGTGCTAGCAGCTAATGCTCTTTATGTTGCTTAATGCAATGATTACAGACAAAGATATTGTAGCAGTATGAAACTATGCATTGCCTTTTAAAAATATTGTAGAAGTTAATAGAACATGCATAAGATGGGAGATGGGGTTTTTTGTGCTGTGTAATTAATTAAAAATATTAGGGCATTTTACTGTATTTTCACTAGGTGGAATTTCTTTTCTGAGTGAGTGATTCCTGATTTAACTGCAGATTTAGATTTTCTGATTAAAATCTAAAGCCTGCAGTACTAAACAAGTCCAAGAGGTTGAAAGTAAACTGAAGAAATTTGCAAGTTATCTGTCATTTGGCACAGATGGATATGGTACATCCTGTGGTTTATAAAGAAAAAGATAAGTTATTTACATTATTAAGCTTAAAGCTTAAAACTTAAAACTCAGTTTATGTTGACTCTGGGATGTCATCTGAGAGTTGTGCTTCAAATTGCTCCCTGACTGTCCTTTTTTAAAATATATTTTTAAAATTTTTATTTGTAAAACAGCTATGTCGATACATGAATACTTAGCTCAGTATTGTCCTGGTTTGAGCCAGGATGAAGCCAATTTTTCTTTTTGCTGATTTTTTTTTTCCTTCAGTAAGCTTTCTTGTAGCTAGCAACAGTGTGTTCTGCTAGGCTGATAAGACAGTGGAATGTTTTTCTAACTACTGAGGCTTCAAGGCCGCACCTGCACTCTGCCGGCTCAGACACTATGGGGAGATCTGTGACCCCCCCGTAGGAGGCTGAGTTAGACAGACAGCAAAATTGGCCAAAGATATTCCATTCCATATATCTACGTAAGCTCAGAGGAAGGTCAGAGATCACAGAAGACAACTTCCTTCCTTCTTTTTCTCCCTTCTCTTCCGTCCATGGCCGGCATCCAGGGAGGACTCTGTTCATCCATCACCGTCGATCCTCAGGCTTGATCTCTCGTGACCCCCATAACTCTCTGCTCTTTTCCAGCAGCAGCTCCGGGATTCCTCGGGACTCTTCCCAGTTCAGGGAAGTGCTGTGGGAGTTGCTGGGGTGGGGGGAGGCGAGAGGTTTTTTGCCCATACCTGAATATATCTGTATATAATTGTATATATTTTCTTGTATCATTCATTAGTGTTTTAATTAAAGCTGTGTAGTTTAGTTTTCAATCCAGCTAAGTCTCTCTCTTTTTCTCTCTCTCCTTCCCTACCTGGGTTGGGGGGAGGGGGGATTGAGAGCATTGTTGTCAGACCTGAGTCAAACCGTGACAAGTATGGAGGAATAAACATACATGAGAACTGTCACCAATAAGAGAAAGATCAGATCTATTTAATGGAAAGCTTTTTGTTCTTAGCTTACAAAACAAAAAATAAAGGCTATTGCTTAGAGCTTCACGTGGCATAAACTGTTGTTCTATAGGAAGTAGTATCAGGAAAATGTGTTCAGGTGAGTCTGAACGTTGCTGCTTTCACTATTGGCAATTTCATTCAAGATCCCTTGTGAATTCTAGTGAAAACCAGTTCAGTAAGCAGTGATTACTATTTACCTATACTATGTTGAGAAATTATTTTAGAGTAGTTTTGTGTATGTTTAAATAGAGTTGCTTTTACCTTTTCTTTCTACCTCTGCATTATGCATGTTGGATTTTGTGCATTTTCGGAGCTTAATTCTATCCTTCACTACCCATGTAAACATTTTGGATTAGGACTTCTGCTCAAATCATTATATACAGGAGTTGAGTAAGTAAAGTCATACCAGATGTTGTTTGTCTTCTGCATCCATTGTTAAATATTTCTTGGGGGGTTGATAAGAAAGGAAGAGTGTTTACTTTACCTGTCTTTAGAACAATCTAACAAGATTTACTATTTGCTCTTCAGAGTTCTAAGCTAGAATCTCATCTTGCGTACATCAGTTTAACTTTAATTACTTAAATACTAGGCAATGTTAATGTATCACACAAGGTCCTGGCCCCTCCATAAATTGTTTTTTTCAGAGCAAATGTAAGGCTTGCTTTCATGTTGCCTACTGTTTGCAGGTATTTTTATTGTTGATATTTGCATATGGGTTTCCATCTAAGATATCATTCACTCTCTCCTTTTTATTCAGGGTTCTGGGAAGGCAGCTCCTATTGCCAAAGGACGAAGGCGTTCAGCATTTTCAGAGCAGAAGTGCCTCCTGTGTGGATACTAAGTGTCTACCTGGCCACCGTGAATGTACTAGTAATATAAAAGAGTACGTTTTTTTTTTAAGTTTTCTTCTTGGTCTTCCCTCTTCAGAAATATGTAAAATATTCCATTTGTATTACTGAAACATTTCACTATAAATAAATAAGCACTTTCTTCTTTCTTTGGATATTTAATTGTCATTTGTTGATCTTTTTCAGGCTCTGCATTTCAGGCTCTAAACTGATCCCAACAGCATCTCCAATACATAAAGCACTAGATTCAAGTTCCACTAAGATTTCTACTTCTGACTCATATATGTATTTATTCCTGGAAGAAGAAATCTACGATGTGGATGGAAAAATAGAAGAATATTTTGCCTTTGACAACAAGGAGCTGTAAATAGCAGATACATGTATTTTTGAAGAATATAATGAAAGATTATCAGTGAACCCAGTCAGGGTTCATAAACTGTGTTTCCCTTGTGTAAAATACAGCTATTTCTTTCCCTGTGTTTGGTAGCACAGTTGTCAGAGCACTCATTGGGCATGTGATAGATTAGGTATGTTGTCTTTCTAGTGGTTCAAAACTCACTTCTCCCATGTCAGAGGAATATAACTTAACCACTAGTTGTTTTGAGGTGTCTTGAGCATGGAGATTCAAAGAATCACAGAGTATTAGGGGTTTGAAGGGACCTGCAAAGATGGAGTCCAACCCCAGTACAATCAATAATCAAATAATCAATGAAATGTTGAGGCAGGGTGTAGAATGAAGGGAATCCCTTCTCCCCAAGTGAATGCCTTGACCACTGGTTTTTAGGGTCATTACACTGTGTATGCTATCATTATCTGCTCTAATGCATCTTAAATACTTTCTGTGCAATGTATAACAACTTTGTGAGGAGAAGTGCAGGATACAAACTGCATGACAGGAGTCATGCAGTTGTTGTCTTGACTGTGTAGCGTAGGTTTCCTGGGAGCCAGTTGAATGTTCCAGCAACTACATTATAATCCTCCTGCCAAATGCAACAGACAATACTTCCCTTTTGTTTTGGTAAAAAAACATAGGATTTACTCTCAAATTACTAAGTACCCCAGCTGTTCCTTCTGGAGCTACAAATCTTTGCTGTAATGCCCTGGCTGGAGTTTTTAATTTTTCACCTGCCAGCAAAAGAAAAGATAAATCATTGTATGTATTCCATAGGTTCTGTTCCCATATGTACTCTCTACATTTGAAGTTGAATTTTTTTGTAATCTACATCTGATGATTGGCTTTTCTTCCATATGTATGTTTCCACTCATTTGGTGTATTAGAAGGAGGGAAAAAAGAAGTCAAAACCCATGGGAATTAATTTGAATTTGCTTCCTTTGTTAGTGATGATGAGAGTTGGCAAGAAAAAAAAATACATCCGGCTGAGAAGAGGAGTAAGCGTGGCTTTCCCCCTGTTTCTCCCAATGCTTGTATCAAAGATGCTGTGGCTTCTGAAGTGTTTGATTGTATCTGGAGCAATATCATTGGAATATTGGAAGAACTGATTAAAAAAAATTGGGAAACTAGTATCATAGGTATTCAATATTTTATTATGCCATTTTTATTTACTCCAACTCAGAAGAGTAATTAATTTTTTTTAATATCTTTTTCCCCTTTAAGCAAAGCTTGGGAAATCTGGTTATCTTAAGATAACCATGTTGGTAGAAAAGCTCTGTAAGAGAAGTAATGCCTTGCTCTGTGTGCGCACTCACACACACCTAAAATGCAAACATTGCTATTAATTTTCAGGGAGTTTTATATGAGAGGTGTGAAAAAAGGAAGAATACTGACTGAAAGAGCTTCATTGGAGAAGAGTGTGTTAAAAAAAATCTTAATCACTGGCTCAGGATGCAAATTAATGCTGTTAGCAGAAGGTCACTGACAACATGGACTGAGTCTGGAACCTAGGAATCAAAGCCCTCATTGTGTGAGCTTTATTGGTTAGATTGTTAAAGTGAGATAGCCTTACTGGCAGTGCGGGAGTTCGTTATAGGATGAATAAATGGTAGTGCATGTAATTTTACTTTATTTTGTATTTTTATATTCTAAGGGACAATAGTGAGAAGCAAAAGCTAGGAAAGTGAACTAAAAGTGGAATTCCGTTTGGTGTGCATGTGTCATCTGTAAAGGCTGAGGGGAGATTTCAGTTCTTTCAGTGTGTTCTAAAAGGACAATAACAGAATAATGACTGATGGTGTGTTTTGGAAATTACCTCAAATGTTTTGGAAATTACCTCAAATGTAGGGTACACACAACTTCAAATGTAAGTCCACAACAAAGTAAAAAATTACAAAGTTTTTCAGAATACTTGCAGAATCAGAACTTTACATTTCAGGTGCAGCTGACATATAAAAGCATTTTGACATCACAGGTGAATTGTTCAGCTCAATATTATAGTTTAGGGAGGATAGCTTAGCAATTTTATGATAGTTGTGCACTTTTATGAAGGGCATAAAGTTATGATACACAGATATCCAAACAAAATATTTCAACTAGGAATATAAAATAGTTTGAGTTTGTAATAGAAATAAGGTGGTGGTATATATGCAAAATGAAGCGGTGTGTAGCTGCTATCAGACAAAGGTAGGATCAAGAGACTTTTTTTTTCTGGATACATACGTTGTTTCTGCTTTTTTTTTTAAAAAAAAGAATTAGAAAAAATTTTGTAAGAGTCAATAATGTTTAAAAATTTTATTTTTAAATAACATTACAACAGTATTTTCCTAAAGAAACATGCCCCTACAGTTCTACTGTGTAGACCAGTGTGTTTGTCAGTGTCAGAGAAAGTATAAACAAATGTGAATGCTTTCAGAAGAACATAATTTATGGTAGATTTTACAGGAAGCCTAAAACTATATGAAAATCTTTATTTATTGTGAAGTGTAATATTCATAGAATCTCAACAAATGGTGGCTGGTTAAGTGTAAAAAAAACCCTCTTATTTCCTCTTACATTTATTTTTTTTCTTGTTGTGCAGACGGTGGCAGACAGGTGGAAAAGCTGAAAGCTGTTACAACAAAACCACCACATTTGCCAGTTGTTCATATTACTGCAGATGCTGGGACTGTTTCTCTTTCCAGAGGTTCTGAAACACAAAGTGTATCTTTTGTTTCCTCACAGGTAAAAATAGCTTCCTATCAAATGGTGGGTTTTTTTCTGCTAACTTTGGAGGGAGTCCTGGTTGAAACTAGAAAAAGGCTATTTTTATTTTATTTAACTCTAACTTTGCTTTTTAAACCAATTAGGTATACTTAAAATATTCCATCTCATTTAAAATGAAGATTCATTAAATGTGCATTTCTTGTTTACTATCACTTGTTCTTTGATGCTTCTCAAAGGCACTGCTTACCACTAAGATATTATTTAAGTTGGTTTATAGAAAAACACTTTTTAGACTGTATTCTCTCCTTTTGTTATGGTCCAGTTGTTTCTTCCTGATAGAGTTAAGAAAACAGATGGGTCTCTTCCCTGGACTGCAGGGATGTCAAGTTACAACCCGAAGGGCTTTACTCACAATCCTGTGAGTTTCAAACTCTCTCATTCCTTTTGATTTCCTTTGTCTTTTATAAAAAGGGACTCTGCTATATCCACCAACATGCTGGCACTAGCCCTTACCTGTCTTTGCGGAAGCTCATGTTGAATTGATAAAATGCCCTTTTCTGTACTGCTTGCTGCCTACTCCCTCTGTTCTCTGGTTTTTCTGCACATTTTTTCTTTTCTGGTCACTACCTTCCAATTTGCTTGGGTTTTGGTTTTTGCTTGGGTTTTGGTTTTTGCTTGGGTTTTGGTTTTTGCTTGGGTTTTGGTTTTTGCTTTGGCTTGGTGTTGTTTTTTTTTTTTGTGTGTGTGTTGTTGATTTTGCATTTTTTTTAAATCTTTCTTACTCAATTCAAGCAACTTCATGCTCTGCCATCTGCTCTTTTTCCATCCTAGTCAGGTAACAAGATAAGAAATGCGGAAAAGACTGCACAGCAGTCTCAGTGCTCCCCATTGACATGGTTGGTTCTGTAGTGGTCATGGCAGCCAAAAGTAAAGTGCTTAGATAAGGAGTGCCCTGGCTGTGTGCCTCTGGACTGAGCTGTGCTGAACAAAGATTGAAATTTTGGACAATTGAGCCCCAGCTTCAACTGAAGCTTATCTTGCAAATAGAGTTCTAATAACTGGTTTACCCACGTTTTGTTTGTATGTTTAAAATATAAGCAAAACAACAATTTGCTCCATCTACCACTGAGAATTCTACTGAACTCTTTCAACAGAAACTTTCTAAGGAACAAGTGAAAGATGTATGAACTGTGGGCTTTTTGAGGTATTCCTTCAGAAACACCTTAAGGTTAACACACATTTGTTGCTTTTACTAGGTTCACCGTTTCTCCAGCAACTTCTGTAGTGATTTGAATGGTGTGATGACAATTCAAGCAAAGCCACTTCAGAAGAGGCCTGTTGCCACAGCAGAAAAAATACAGTAGGTGTTGGTATTGATATTTTCAAAATGCAGCATAATTATTTTGTAATTTAGTATAAAAAGCTGTATTGCAATTAAGAAGGCAGTCATCTCGTTTGTGTGTATAACCAATGAGACGATTTGTAGAGGTTGCAAAGATACTCTGTTAAGACATCTTCATCCTCATTCCATATCTCTTTCTCTTTCCTTTTTTCTTAGGCATGAGCAAGAAGACAAACAGCATTGCATTGGCTCCAGTGCTCCAAGTTCAGTGCTGCATACTAGGTTGGGGAGAATTTCTGATAACAGTGTTCTCTCAACATCTCGGGTACTGCTGACATCTTCTAGGAAGCTACCAAGCCATCGTAGGTTACCTTCTCTCACTTCTGACCAACTCTTCTCAAAACCTCCTAATGTGTACAATGATGAAATCCTTAGGGGGACTAAATTGTGAGTTTAAAAATTTTATTCTTTGCTTTCCTCAAAATTTTACTGAAATGTCACCAGGGAAGGCTTTTACAAAATACTTGATGAGCGCTAACCTGAAATTTATTGCTGATTCTAGAATTCAGAGAGAAAAAGAAAGCAAGCAGAATGGTATTTTTCCTGCAGAGGCATTAGGTCTATTTATTTATTTATTTATTTATTTATTTCGCTGCATAGCGTTCTGTTACTTTCTGTAGCTGAGTTCTGTAAAGAAATGTACTGCTTAATAATTTCATATTACTTCAGTGAAGAAGTCTGGTATGAATTTTCCTAAAACAGGAACTTTTAAAATTCTGTAGACGTGCCAACTCAGATCGTTTGTCTTCTGCTTGTGCATCTACAACCCAGAATAAGCTACCACCAATAAACTCAGAGGCTGTTGAACAATATCTTTCAGTGCCTCAGTTGCAGCAGAGCTCTGTAAGTGTGTTCATTTTTGTACTGGTGAAAAACTTCAAGCTGTTTGGAAGTAAATGTGTCACTGGTTTAAATGAGCAGTCTTACAGTTTGTGTTTGTGTTTAATACATGGTCTTAACATGCTAATGTGTGTTACATTGGGATACCATTGGAATGCAACAGAAGCCAGTTTAAAACTTCAGGTCATCGTGATGGAAAGACTTTCCTCTGAAAACAAAAATCTATTTAGGAAAAAAAACAACACCCAGCCACCCAGATACTAACCTTGCACTTACATGCACCTGGGTTTAAATAACTATTTTTCTTGTTTTATTCACTAATGCTGGATTATTAGAAGTAGAAAATTATGCTGACTGAAGTAGAAAAGAATACTGGCTGACAAAAAAGATAAGTCTTACTGATACTATTTTTGGAGGATTGGGAAGTAATGTTACCAAATGAAAGCAAATCAGCGTTTTGATCCTGTGCTGAATAATATTTTGAATTGAGACACATTATTTTTATTAATATAAGCCTTTGGGAATTTTACACTAATATTAGGGTACAATATCAGATCTGTTTTAAAAACATAAGTACCCTTAAATTACCTTGAATTGGTGCTTTTCGTTAGTGAAAGCATATTTTTCTTACCTTGCTTTTTTGTTGTGGGTTTGTTTTTCTGGGGTTTTATTGCATGGCAATAGAAGAAATATTATTATAACCAATTAAATGGCTGCATTCTTTCAATGCTCTTAATTCTCTCAGCGTCGAGGGCGATATGTCCACAGCAGAGTGTCAAGTGCAGTGTCTGGTGGTACAGAGCAACAGCCACTCAGAGAAAGAATTGTCTTTAATGATCAGTTTTCAAGACCCAACACAACTCATACATTCAGGATACGTTACAGTGTAAGTAGAGACACAGAAAAGTGAAGAAGGTTCCACTCAAGTCCACTTTTGGTCTCGTTTACTGTGTCTCCTGATTTCTGTTGTACAGGGATCTCTACTATCTGTAGAGATCATAATGTTAAAAAGCTTTTGAGAGGGTGTGGAACCTTGAAAAGCAGGACTAGTGTATGAGGAAGTGATTTTTTTTCACATCTAATGCATGAAACGGCTCTTTTGAGGGTGTCTGTGCGCTAGAAGTGTGCAGTTTTCATATTGCTTGGAGCTTTGCAGCTTGGTAGGACTGCATCATAAAAACTGTATGAGACCATTTCAGTAGTTAAGTGTATCATACTATCTAATAGTATGTTTTTCCTTTTTACAGACAGACACATCTCAGAAGAGATCACTGCCTCTCATGAATTTTATAAACAGAGGAACAGGTCAAGGATTATTAATAGGTAGGCAAAGAAAGAATTACTTGGAAGGGCCAACTAAGCCTCTTAACCCATGGTGCAGTTGAGAAGCAAAACAGTCAGGGAGAGCCGTGTCAGCATAATGTCCTGAAGCTGTGCCAGGGGAGGTTTAGACTGAGTATTAGAAAGAATTTCTTTACCAAAAGAGTTGTTCGACAGTGGAACAGGCTGCCTAGGGACGTGGTGGAGTCACCATCCCTGGAAGTATTTAAAAGAAACCTAGATATAGCCCTTAGTGACACAATTTAACATTGAACGGGTAAATTAGGCTACGGTAGGAGGATTTAGGTTATGGTTGTACTTGATCTTCAAGGTCCCTTCCAACCAGGATGATTCTAGGATTCTATGATTCTATAAAAGAGCAGGAGTGCTTGGAAGGACCTTTTGAGTTTGGTTTTGAAGTTTCTTTTTCACTTGGTCTGAGATAGCACTGACTGACCGTTAAGAACCCTGCAAAGCTTCTTTTCGTTGTTATGATGTGAAAGGAAAAGGATTCCACCCCCGTCTTTCTGATTCTGCCACAGTTAAACAATCAATGTTTTATCTTTTCTAGGCTCACAGCATTACTACAGATCCTTTCAGAGAAATCCTCCAGCCTCAAGGAGGAGATATCAGATTGCTTCTTAACCCATCTGATGAAGAAACAGAACCCCCCTGCACTAAATGAAGACTGAAGAGCTAAATTTGCCAGCTAGTAGCTTCTGTGACAAATAACATGTGTAGTGTGCTGGTTTCTGCTGAGTCTTGCAGTCCTCAGGATGCCTACCTTGCCTTCTTTTAAAGTTGTCTGACCGGGGGTTAGATTAAAACTTAGAGCAGAATTAGATAAATGGTTGAGATAAAAGTGTTGGGCATCTGCTCTGCAGTCAAGATGCTGCTTCTGTTGCTGCACTTTCTTCTCAGACATTTCTCCTTTTTTTTCTGTTTTTGCTTAGGCATTTTTTTTATTCTATTATTTTTTTCTACCTATAAAAGCAATAAGTTATGTTTAGACTGTGAAGTCATGTTCCCACTTTTTTGTTTTTCCTCAGTGTTAAGGATCGTCTAGTCTATCCAAATATCAGTCATATATAAAATCTGTATTTTTAAACAGGAGTTTGCAGTATCTCCTCTTTAACTCCTGTTTTAACATTTCTCCCATTTTTCAGACTGTCTGCTTATTGCAGTTACTGTGTTAAATAATGTCTGTCCCTTTTTCTTCCTTTAATTCTTTTGAGATGGAATTAATTAATTGCTTTTACTTCCCTTGTTCTGCTCATAAGTTATTGTGGGAGCTGCTAGGATAAACTTTATATACAGGAATAAATGATTTTTCCCTGTCAGGATAAACGTTTGTAGATCCTGAGCAATTGAATCTGCATGCTGACGAGTCAGTAAGACCATTCCAACTTCTTGAGATTTCTTATAAAATATTGCATATTACTGTATGAATTAGTAATATTTTTTAGTATCCAAGCCTTCAGTTTTAATTTGAAAATCTGTACGTAACTGATGAAAGCATTATTTAATAGCTTTTTGTGCAGACCCAAATGGGAAAATCAAAGAGAAGATTTGGATTACATTCTGCCCAGACATCACAGCCCTGATTGAGTCCCTGGCGAACAGTGCTTTGTGTGCATTTGGGGTCAGAAATTCCCCTTTCCATCAGAGAGCCAGCAGTTAGTTTGAAGAGCTCTTGAAGGGGAAAGAGGGAAGTAGAAAAACTTTAAGTATGTACTCAAATTTTGCAGTTAAGAATGGAATAAATTTCTTCTACTTGGGAGCTAAAACTAGTTCTCACTTCTTCTGACTACTGAAGGATTGATAATCTAAGGCAAAGCATTTGTAATGTATATTTTATGTATATTGTTTATCTGATTTCAGGTTTGTGTAAGTGGTCATCAAACATTGCATTCTTCTGAGTAAATGAAAGCATTTTAAAATTACTTTTGTAGCTTAATATTTTTCTCCTTTGGCTACACTGACTTGCCCCCTCCCTGGAAGTGTTGAAGGCCAGGTTTGATGGGGCTTTGAGCAACCTGATCTAGTGGGAGGTGTCCCTGCCTATGCAGGGGGGTTGGAACTAGATGATCTTTAAGGTCCTTTCCAACCTGAACCATTCTGTCCACACTGATGATGACTTTTCAGATGGAGCCATGTTTTGTGCAGGTGATGGCTGTTGGGGATTACAAAGTGACCTTTTTTTTTCAGTCTGAGTAACTCTACATAAAGTTTAATCATATTGTGATCATGTGTATTGAGAAAGAAGGAAGGTCTTAAGAAAAATGCTTCCTAATTAGAAGTGATCTGTGGTGATTGCTAAGTTAGCAACTGGTTAGTCTTGCTTACTGTGGACTGTGTGTTTTGCAAGACATCAGACGTCTTGCCTGGAGCAAAGGATTAATCTAAAGAGCACACCACAGGTTTCCAGAATTTGTTCTGTACTTCTCTTTTGTCCTTCTGTCGATATCAGTCCCATTTTAGCCTTGCTTTGCTTTTTTGGTTTTGTTTTGTTGGTTTTTTTTTCTTGCTGGTAAGGATTATTTTGTCAGTTTCCTTACCAGAGGATTCAGATCTGCATTGTAGGGACCAGCAGAAGCCTGTGTTTCTGGGCTGACATAGCTTCCTAACAAGATGTGTGTCTTCTGCCAGTATAGGCAGATAAGCTTCCACTTAGGTGACAGGCTGAGTAAAAGCAGATTTGCATTGTTACACACATTTACAAAAGCAAAAATATTTGCTAACCAGTGAAGTAACAGCTCTCCAGGTGAAAAAGGAATGCTAGTCACAATCTGGTAGAAAACTCTTCTCCTACAGAACATCCTCCAAAATTCCTAAGTCTTAGTGACTTCATTAGGCCTCAGGTGTGCCAGACCTCTCATTTCTTCTTTCTTGGATATATCTTTTACATCTCAATCTAGCATAGCTGCTGCTGCCTTTTGTTAGGAGCAGCAGCATCATTGCCAGCTGCTGGCAGGATTTTGCAATGCTATGTTCCCTATTTCTTTTCCAGTGGCTTTTCACCTTGTCCCTGCTGTTTCACTCTTTTCTAGTTTTTCACAGTTTTTCCTGCATAAGGAATTATCAGCAACCAGAAACACAGATTTTGACTTAAAATCACAATTTGCTGTTTCATCTAATTATCAGCTTCACAAAGGAAACAAACTGCAGTGGTTTTGAGAAGAAGAGAGCATAATTATCCAGCTCATCTCCCTGTTACAAAGACAGAAGTGGAGTTTCTTGATCCTTTGTGCTTGCTTGCTTCCTTCCTGGGATGTCACCTGAACTTAAGAGAGGACTGATGGCAATGTAGCTTGCCTTATATGGTTAAAAGACAGAATACGTATCTGCTAGTTCTTGTTATAAAACATTTCAAATACTGACAAGTGTAGCAAAGTTCATTTCCAGCTGTTTATCATGCAGAAAAATGCAAGTCAGCGTCTACGATAAAGTAGTCTCCCTATGCTAGGAGACTGCAGGAGCAAAGTGCCAAAATTTACTCCCCTCTGCTGCCAAGGGTCATCAGCCCTTCCTTAGCTTCAGTTATCCTGAACTTTATCTGTGTTGCTTTGTTTATGCTGTTTGTTTGTTTACTGAAAATGCTGATGCAGTCAATTTTGGTACAAACCAGAGAGGAGAAAAATGACCATGTAATGACCAAAAAATGACCAATGTAAGAAGCTTTTGTGATGTATTCAAGGGGTGAAGTTTTCCAAACTGGAGGTGAGCCATGCTATCTTTTCACTGAACTTCAGTTTGACCACAAGGCTTCTAAACATTGGACGCTTTGAGGTGCTCAGCAGCCCTGCAGCAGCAGGAAGAAACCCTGGCTCCTTGAGACAGGAAGGGGCAGCAGGGTTTATGGTGGGTATGGCCCCACTTCTACCCAAGTACTTTGCAAGTTGTGACATAGGTGTTGGTGCTGCCAGTTGTGTTACTGGCACCCATTAGCCTGGGGCTGAGAGCTTGACAGTGAGATCAGAAAAGGGCATTTGAGTAGAGAAGCATCAGCGTTCCTTGCAGTGCTGCTCATGATCGTAGGTATCTGTGGGCTCTGGGTTGTGTAACCTCTTAGACCCATCAGCCCAACTTAAGAAAGGTGCTTGTCATCTGAAGAACTGGAACTCTTCCATGCATTGTGTTGGAGCAGTTTTTTTTGTTGCAAACGGTGTTCCCTGAGCACCTGAACAGATCTGGAGAATGGTGGTGGTATGAAAATCCTTTCTCCCCAAATGAGCAAAAAAGTGTTTTTTCTCCTGACAGCTGTTTGTGTCTTTTCCTCTGAGGTATCGCACAGGCCTGTGGAGAAATTCCTCACAGATCTCTTGAGCCAGAGGAGCCAAGTGAGGGCAAGGACATGGCAACATTGCCCACAACTGCTCTGCCGCCACAGAGTGTTTCCAGGCAGCCTCTCCATGTGTCTGGTTTTTTTATATCTTTGTTTATTTTCCTGGTAGGAAGCTGCTTCTGGGGCCGTGTGACAGCTCCGCCTCCTGCTCCTGTGGCTCTGGTCCCAGCACCCTCCTCTTGCTGCTGCTGCTGCAGTGGGAAAAGGCAGAGCTGGTACAAGCAGCTCCGCTTCCCCAGTAGAGATCAAGGCTCGGGGCAGGAGGCTGGGAGGCAGCGATGGAGCTTCTACAGGGATCTGTGGGGGCACCCCAGCTGCTGAATTTGGGGGCTGGGGTTGTCGCTCTGTTGTTGACAGTTGTGGCCATGCGATGCCTGCCTTCCCTGATGGATTACTGGAGGATGTGGAGGGTGATGAAGCCGATTCCAGGTGTCAGCCCCTGCTATCCTGTGCTGGGAAATGCTCCACTCTTCGAGCAGGAAGGAGAGGGTAAGGGCAGCTTCTGCCATAGCCCATCTGTGAGGTCTGTGGTGGGTGGGGCTTTGCTGGAGGAGCCAGCGCTTTGGGTGGTCAAGCTGGGGGGGTGGGGAGTGTTGTAGGGCAAGTCATGTGCTTTAGGTCTCTCTGGGGCTGTGGGCGACCTGCAGAGGGGTAACTGTATGAGATGTGGACAGTGGAGGGGAAAGGAGCTGCCTAAATGCAGGGTTATTATCAGTCAAAGATTAGCTAGAGGGTCAGTCTGGCAGTGGCTTCCAGATGCTGTTGCTGGACTTGGCCTCATTTCCAGATATTGGTGAGGCAGAGCATGAACACTGTGGAAAGTTTTTGGGAGAGGGGGGTGTGCTGAGTACTCCTGCAGGAAGTGCTGTTTCACGAGGAAGAACGCTGTGTCCCTATGGCTATTAACTGCCATCAAAACAATGCTTCTAGCTTGGGAAGAAAAAAACTGTAAACAATGATCTTCCCACAAGTGAGCACGTGCAAGGGATTTCAGCATGCTGAGTTGCAGGCTTGATTTTGGAATAAGCTGTGCCTTAGATTTTCATGTTAAGTACCAAAAAAACCCTTGCTGCATGTTTACAGTACATCCCTCAAAGCAAACTTTTTTGTGCTCACATTGCTCAATAGTACCTTCTTTTTGCCAGGTGTTTGAGAGAGCACAAACGTGCTACATGTTCCCTTTCTGTTAGGTACTCATCTTTGCAAGAGGAGCACATTTCTTTAGGAATCTGTGGTATGAAGGTGGCTCTGCTTGTCCTATCAGTCAACCAGCAGACTCTTCTGGGTGTGTTTGTGATGCCTATGTATGCCAGTCTGCTCTGTGCACACGTGTTCCTGGCTCTGCTGCCAGGTGTGCTGCTAGAACAGAGTGCAACTGGGTCATGGGAGTGTGGCGAAGCCAAGGATGACTGCAGCGTGGGTGCGCACATTGCCCAGTGCTGACACATGCTGAGGTGTGGTCCCTCTGTTCACAAGGGTACAAGCTCACGTTTCCTTTGGATCCAACCCTATATCTCAATACAGGTATGAGAGATCTTTGGTGGAAGCAAGGGCAAGCAGGTTTTCCTGAAGCTGACATTGGGTAAACAGTAACTGGATCATAGTGAGGATGTAAATTTAAGCCTGACTGACATAAATGTTTTTTGTTTTGTTTTTTTTATTTTTCCTTTGCTTTCTTCTTTTTTAATGTTCTTAAATAAAATAGAATAGAAAAAAACCCCAAACTGAAAAAAGCCTACATTGTTTCTCTCTCCAGAAAGCAATTTCATGGATGCTCTTATGTTCTATGGAGTCTCATAATTTCTGTTGTTAGCAGGAGTCACATAGCCTGCATGCTTCAGTTAGGCTATGCCCATCCATCTTTGTTCTTGTTTATTTATGTAAAAATTAGTGAAGTTCATAGTTTATAATGCTTTTCATTAAAAATGTGACCAAAAATAAATCCAGTTTTTAGAAAAAAGGATAAGGTTTTATATTATCTGATGGTGATTTTATTTATTGATATCAGGAGACAAATGCTGGAAAATCATGTTATTTTAATCATGGTGATGTTAGGAATTAAGTATTTTTAAAACACCAAAATAATCTGACACTCTTAAGCCTTTTGGTTGAGGTGTCATTAGAACTTTGCCTAAGACTAGGGAATGTTCTGTTTGGGTATCTATTAGGAAACTAAGGGGGTTTTTGTTTGTTTGTTTATTGTGTTATTTTTCCCTTAGATTTGAGGACCTTTGAATTTTCAACTCTGTGGAGTTGAAAATACAATTACGCCCTCCCTTGGAGTCATTTATTGTTTAATTTGGTTTCTGAAAGGGCAGAATGAACCTGCTTGTCCTCTGTGATGAGAACTGGGTATGTGAGCAAGGGAAGAACAGTAGATGGTGATTAATTTAATCCAGTAAAGTCTTTTATACCATCTCCCGTCTTCTGGATAGTTAAAGTGACAAGATGTGTACTGGGTAAGTGGATAATCATAGAAACATTTCATCATCTATCCACCTAGTTACTTCCTCATAGAAGGGTATAAGGTTGGTCAAACATGACTTTCCCTTGGTAAAACCATGTTGACTGGTCTTAATGACGCTTTCAACCTTAATATGCCTAGAGATAGTGCCAAGGACAAGTTGTTCCATCACCTTTCCAGGGATGGGGGTGAGGCTGACTGGTATATAGGGACCCAGGTCCCCCTTTTTGTAGACTGGAGTGACATTTGCTATCCTCCAGTCCTCAAGCACCTCTCCTGTTGCCCATAACTTACCAAAGATGATGGAGAGTGGCCTAGCAATGACCTCCGCTGTCACGATCCGTGACCTATTATGTCTCCTTATTGGAGTGTATTAACTTATCAGGATTTGCTGAGAGATCCACACGTGGGTATCGCCTCACACAGAGGATACAGGAACTTATGTCCTGACTTTTTTGAGTGAATAACTCGCTCAGTGCTTACTAAATTTCTAACAACAGCAAGGTTTATTGTGGGGAAAACAAAGCAATTTGGGGCAGGAGGTTCAAAAGGAGTGATTACAACACATTAAACATATATGGGTACACCTTAGTTACACATCTTATTCACGTGAGGGAAGCAGAGGGGAGGGATTTGCCCGAATGGCTGGATTATATTTTCCCCTATAAACTGGGGTAGCCGGAATTGTCTCACCACGGCAGTGCAGGTTCGATGAGCTGGG